CATCTGTCCACTGTGCCCAGTCCCTGCCGCTTACTCTGACTCTGTCCTTGCTGTACAGTAACTCTCTTATTTCCAACTTAGCATTCTCATAGAATGCCACTTCACCTTCCATAGCACTGACCTTGATAGCAAGTGCAAATGGCAGCTATTTCAATACCTTTCAGGTTATGAGACCATCAGTCTTGCAAATGGATGGCTTTGGTCAATGAAGTCTACAGGGAATAAGAGGAATAAATTCATGTATAAGGGAAATTACAGTGTGCTAGTGGAAGGTGTCCGGCCATCAGTAGGTGCTAAAGCAGCACTAACTTTTATTTATATTTATTTAGCTTCTTCAATACTCAGGTTACCATGAAGTACATTTTAGCCCATAAGGAATTTGAGTTTGGAGTAGAATTGGACACAAATGAGAGCAGCAAATAAATACTTATTCATTGACTAAATTATTTATTCAATACTGACTATTTTCTGAAGCCAAGTGTTACAGAGATGGAATAATTTTATCCCACCCTTCATGGATCTTGTGATTAGTTGAGAGCGATATAAATGATAGGAATACTTTTTGTATCATGAAGTACAATGAGCACTAGCGGCAGCACTCAAGTGGTTTTGTCATAACCAAAAATTCCAGCTGGACAGCAGACCAGTCAAAGGCTGCCAGGCTGGCGTGGAAGCATCCCAACTTTTCATTTATGACCCTGTGTGCAAGTCTTTAAGTCCACACCCCATTAAGTGTGTTTATTTATAAATTCTACCCATGTGCCACTGGATTTATATTCCATGCATTATAAAGTTTCACTAAAATATGTGTCTAAAAGGATGAGATTTTAAAAATGAATGTAAACAGGAGCACTGATACCCTCTGCCTGGCCCCAGTGAGCTCACCTCCAGGATCTCCTTAGTAGATGACCACCAGCCAGGTCTAGAGGACAGTCCTTCCCGTTACTGGTCAAGAATCTGGATTTAATAAGCTCATGCAGAGATCTGGGGCAAGTCCAAGGAGTCATGCGATAATCTAGGCATTTCCAGAAAGATCCTAGTTACATACCATTTGCAGGAGGCATGATTTCCCTGTGATTAAGTCCACTCAAGAGACCAAATTAGATTGAAGTTGGTTAGTGAGCATAGAATTCGAACAAATGGAATCATGGTCTGTGGAGATATTTCATCAAACCAGAATGACTGATTGAACTGCCCGTCTCTTCTCCCAGGATAATTCTGTCTGAATAACCAGAGCTGGACCTCAAATAAATACTGACATGTTTTACTTTTTCTTTTCCTTTTTCCAAAATCATTTTAGACAACTGCCCTTCTGCTAATACATCACCACCCCAGAAAAATAAGAATGTACTTGATTGGATTGAGATTTTAAAATGTTAATTACATTCATGTCCTGAGGATACAGCTTAAAGAGACAGAATTGCTTTCCTTAAGGTTGAAGAATGGTTGGGGACTTTGATCTGTGCAAGCTCTTAGGATGCTAAAGGGCTCTCCCCCAGGTAGGATGAGCTCAATCCTTTTGGCTTCAGGGATTCATCTCCCTGTCCAGCTTCAGGGACCCCTGATGGGTGAGAGGGTTGCAACTTTTCATATGATTTAGGTTTTCCAACAAAAGTCCTTCATTTTCCTTAGCTGACCAAGGTGAGGCTTATCGCCTGCCACTGTGAGGTAGACCAGATGTTGAACCAGGAGGGGACTCTCCCTAAGATGATAGTAAGTTCAGTGGTACTAAAGATCTTCTTTTCCAGTATTATCCTACCCAGCATCACACAATATTTTTCTTCACAAAAAGAAACTAGCCTGTTTTTCTCCTACTGAAACCTATGGTTTTGCAATTCTTGTTCTTGTTGCTTAAAACTACGCTAAGACTTCCAGAGCCCCTAACAGATAGTCTATTTTCCATCACCACCTCCTCACAACTTTTACCTGAAGATATTTACAGGCAGATTTTGAACCAACTTACTGTTTATGCATCCCCTGTTAAAAATTAACAGGGAGGGACTGTGTTGTGGTGCCCCAAGTTAAGCTGCCACCTGTGACACTAGCCTCCCATATATAAGCACCAGTTTGAGTCTCAGCTGCTCGGCTTCTGATCCAGCTCCCTGCTAATGTGCCTGGGAGGGCAGGAGAAGATGGCCCAAGTGCTTGGGCCCCTGACACCCACATGGAAGTCCTGGCTCCTGGCCTTTGCCTGGCCCAGCCCTGACCATTGCGGCCAATTGGGGGAGTGAACAGTCAGATAGATGGAAGATATCTCCCTCTCCCCTCTCCCCTCTCCCCTCTCCCCTCTCACCTCTCCCCTCACCCCTCCCTCTACCTCTCTGTAACTCTGCCTTCCAAATAAATAAAATAAATCTTGAAAAAAATTAAAATTAATAGGGACACCATTAGATTGAGACAACTTCAGAGTTTAAGAAAATACTATGGATATCTCTATGTCCATATATTCAACAATTTAGCTGAACTATACAAATTCCTTACAAATCAAAACCCAATTCCTTGTAAAAAAAAATAAAATAAAAGGAAATGTAAGCTTAACCAATCAGAAACCACCAACTAACCTCTGACTAAAGACTTTCCACATTAACAAAATACTGCCTTTGTCTTGCTTCAACAAGAATTAAAGAATTTCTTCCCTTGTCTCCCTACGGCCCTAGTGAAGCACTGACCCTATATGGTCTGGTGCTTCCCAACTCATGATTCACCGAATGCTCAAATAAACATTAAAATTTGAATGTGCTTATCCTTTAACATGGCTTTGAGAACAAAGCCAATAGCATTAATTAAATAAGAAGGTCTTTGAATATCGCAAAATACAGAAAATTGCATGTTTAATTTTAAATTATGCCTTAAGCATAGAAGTACCAACAGAAAGTCACTTTTATTTAAGCATAGTAGTTGAATTTAATATAGCATACATCTGAAATTTGCATAAGAGAAAAGAAAAGCTGATTTCTGTGTGAATAGAAACTAATCGAGTGAACTTGGTTCATTCATTGTGCACTTCGGATGAAAGAAATAGCAAATATTGTTCAAGAAGCATGTTTTGAGTTTGTAATTAAAGCTAAAGGCTTTAGTAATTGCTTTAAAACAGATTCATGTATTTTAGTCTTTGGCTGTGATAGTAAATGTATTCAGAAATATGCACATTAAGTAGAAATTTCTCCACTGGAGTTGAGAGCCAACTCTTGGTTTCATATAAAAATCTTGGTCTGCCTTCCTAGGGGAATCTGAATAATCAGGTTTGGTGTTTTTATTTTGTTCTGTGAACTACCTTTCTCCTGGGAACACTGACTACTCCGTGAAGCACTGGGTTGGGAGAGTGGGTACAAGGATGTGTCCCCCAGAGCTCAAGCAGGAGTGAGGCTCCTTAGCTTGGCCCATTTCATCACCATCCACCCCACAAAACAACCCCACAGGTCAGAGCTTCGCCTGGAGTCCCCAGAAAGGAAGTGTTTAGGAAGGAGACCCTCCCATTATGGCACCTCCCCTCTAGGGGCTTGAGCAGGAGAGGTGACAAACCACCGCCCTGGCTGTTATGCCCTTCTCCCAACTCCCTGCCTCACTCAGCTTCTGTCACATTCCTGAAATGCCTGCAGGGCAAGGGGAGGGAGGCACTGGTTACTCCAAGCCCAAGGTAGAGAAGAAAGAGAGAATACCAAAAACTCAGCTCCCGGTTTATCCTCCTGAGATCTAGCCCCGATGCTTCTATTACCAGACCAAAGCCACCAGTTCATATGCACAGGATCCAATCAGTCCTGTAACATGTGCACACCCATACAGGAACCCCGGTAGCTTCTTCCAATTGGCACCTCTCCTGGTACTTTCTCTCAGTGTTGTTACCAGTGGAGACGGGTTTGGGCTCGGTCTTTCTCACTAAGGCAGTGAAGAATTACAGATCAGCAAATCCCAGTAGGCACAGCAAAGTGCACGGAGGTAGTTTCCACAGGAGGAGCAGGATGGTGCTACTTATAATGATGCTAGAATGAGGCAAGGTCATCTTAATGCCAGGCTCTGTTCTCACAGACCATGTGCCATAAACTAGATTCTTCTGCTTTGGCCGAGTTCCCATTTATCAGCATCTATTAACCTGAGCTAAGCTATAAAGTGGGTGAACTTGGGTGGCTCCCAGGTGCCCTGGGCTAGAGTATGGGCCCTTGGCTCCTCCTCCGGAGTAAGGTTTGGGGGCCCCCACTCAGTCACTCATGTCTACTTGCCTGACTAGCAGTATCAGTCCCTCCAAGGCTGCTCATAGGCAAAACCCCAACTATCAATCTTTAATAAAATATTTTCTATATAAAATAAATATTTTACATAGTCTATATAAATTTAAGCATTAATATTTAATTCCTATAACTTTGTATATTAATATTTAAAATATGTATATACATAAATAAAGTATTTTATGAACTCAGACGTATAACTTTTGCAAAGTCAAGGTTAGGTTTGTGGTGATTTAGTGTAATGTGTTGAGCAGGATGAAAGGAAACAAGGGTTATTGCCAGTGGAGATAATCAGAAAATGGGTATGGCCATGGCAAGAGCCTCGAGTGATCACTGACATCATAAATCAGAGTGTTAATTGTTAAAGGAACAACAGAAGTCACTGTGCACTTACTCCCCAGGTAGGACCTCCATCCTTAATGAGTTGTGCTATGAGAATTGACTGCAAATCTTGTTCTCAAACTGTACTCTATATGTTGTGTGTGTGTGGATGGGTGCAAGCTGTTGAAGTCTATGCTTAACTTGGAGTGGGTCCTCTGTATATAAAATCAAACTAAAAATGAACCATAATGAAGAAGGAGATGGGAAAGGGGGAGGGAGGTGGGATGAAGTCGGGGTGGGAGGCTGGGTATGGGGGAAAGAACCACTATATTCCTAAAGTTGTATCTATGAAAAAAACACATTCATTAAATGAAAATTTAAAAAAAATAAAATGGGTATGTTTTCTGTAACTAGTGTGATCCAGATTGCATTGACCTAGTTTACTTCTTCCTCCAGGGAATTACTGGAATGCTGCCTCTTTCCCAAACCCGTCATCCTACCTGCACTTCTCTACTTTCCAAGGGGAAACCAGCGCTGACATTTCCTTCTACTTCAAAACATTAACCCCCAAGGGAGTGTTTCTTGAAAATCTGGGGAAAACAGATTTCATCAAGCTGGAACTGAAATGTGAGTACCAGTTTCATTTTGTTTTGCTTTCTAAGATTGATTGATTGATTTAAAGTCAGAGTTACAGAGAGAGAGGCAGACAGATCTTCCATCCACTGATTTATTCCACAGATGGCTGCAATGGCCAGGGATGAGCCAAGCCAAAGCGAGGAGCCAGGAGCTCCATCTGGGTCTTCCATGTGAGTGTAGGGGCCCGAGCACTTGGGTCATCTTCCACTGCTCTCCCAGGGGCCCAAACATTTGGACCATCCTTTGCAGCTTTTCTCAGGCCATTAGCAGGGAGCTGGATGGGAAGTGGAGCAGCTGGACACAAATTGGTGCCCATATGGCATCCCAGGTGGCAGATCTACCTGCTACGCCACCATGCCAGCCACTGAGTAGTTTTTGTCAAGTCCCAGTACTCTCTTTGTCATTCCTGGCTGGTTACATGACCCCATGTGGTTCAAAATGGATGGTCCTTTTGGCTGAGGAGCAGGAGGAGTAGTCCCTGTCCCAGGCACTGTCAAGGAAGCAGGTGCACACAGACATGCAGGCAACGTTATTCAAGGGAGACCAGGGGAAGGTACTGCCCCAAGAAGATGGGGGAAAAGCTGTTTCAGGTTTGGGGCACAGCTTGAGAAAGCGCAGCATCCCTGGGATCTGGCTTGCCTTGCCAGGGCCCTTGTATCTTCCAAGCCTAAATTCAGCTTTAGGAATTTACAATCCACAGACTTCTAGGTTAGGCCAGTGTTTGCAAATGCCAGGCTGCACTGGCTGTTGAGACAAAATCATAGTCGAGAGACACAACCGGGATCCCTGTGTCACTCAGGAATCGCAACCTCCGGGCTGCCTCCCGCATCCAGTCTGCCCTCTTTTAACCACGTGCCTGTGTTTCTGCATCTGGTCAGAAAATGATCCCAAATCCATTTCCTAGGAGTGTCTGCTGGTTTGCTTTTTGTGGTTATAATTACGCAACGTGGTCTTTTAAAAAGGGCATCTCAGATATGTCTGGTTATGCTTGAATCCTGTTGTGTTCTTTTTGAATGGTATATTATGATTGTTCAAACTTCTGAGTTAGCTTCTTGGGTTCAGATCCAAATCTTCAGGTAAATTGTTTATCTCTTTGAATCCCAATTCCCTGATCTGTGACATGGAGGTGTTTATTTGTGGAGGATATTCACACGGTATTTATTTCAGTGTCTGGAAGTTGGTATCTATCCCATCTACCCAAGCATGCTCATTGTAGATCTGATCTGAGCCAGATCTAATTAAAAGGGAGACTTAGGATATTCTAGGCCCAAAATTAAAATTAATTAATTAAAATACTTGAATGAATTATGGATTTGAATGATTAAAAAGTGATTATTTTTACTCCCACCAGTTAAAATTAATGGAATCAAACTACTTTCTGACTACTGCATCAGTTGGGTAATATTTTAGTACTATTTTATGGCCATAAAAAGGAACTAGGCAATTCCACTTTTGAGTAATTTGGTTATCTATGAAGTTACTAGAATTCCAAACCTCCACCCCTGTTTTCTTTGTATTATATCCTCATGTTTTGTAAAACCATAGAGGAAGAAAGACAAATCGCATGCAGAGAGAATAGGTGTTTCTACTTAGCACTTGCATCAAAGAATTCCATGCAGTTATCTATTTTCTAAATTATTAGAGGGAGACAGAGAGGTATCTTCCATCTACTAGCTCACTCCCCAAATGCTTGCAACAGCCAAAGCTGGGCCAGGGTGAAGGCAGGGTGCCCAGAACTCAATCTGGTCTCCCATGTGAGTGACAGGGACCCAACCACTTGAGCCAGCATGTGTTGCTTCCTGGGGTGTACCTTAGCAAGAAGCTGAGAATTGGGAGCTGAGCTGGGACTCAAATCAAGCGCTGCTTGGGTGTCCCAAGTAGTATGTTAAGTGCTATGCCAAGCATCCTCCCTTCGCTGATTTCTGACCATGAAAAATCATCAGAGAGATTTTCAAAGTGTTCGGGTCCCTTCCACAATATGAGAACCTTGTGGCAGAGGTTGCATCATTGCCTCGTGTTGTCGGATGGCTTGCTCTGGCAAAAATACATGAGACATGCAAAGCACAAATCTGAAGCTCCTCAACTCTCCTCAAAGTCCCCTGGACCTGCTAATAACCACGTAGGGTGAAAACACCCTTTTCAGTTCCCCTAAATGGCAGGCCCCAGATGCCCTGCCTTGTGGGTCATCTATAGGGCATCCAAGAAGTCTAACTGGAGTGGGGCAGGGGACAGATGTCTACATTTGAGAAAAAACTTCTTCAGCGTCAGCACAAAGCAGTGCTCCTCTGAAGAACATGGAGAAAAACCCACTGGATTGAGGCTCGCTGCTCACTCTGGGTCACCTACTTTTCAGCCCGACTCCTCTCTGTCAGGGTTCCTGGGGCAGTGAGTAGAGAACCCGCTCAGGCCCATTCCTCCCTGTCCCTGAAGTCTGTGTATTCCTAACAGTTGTCACAGCCACAGTGGCTCCCAGCGGGGTGAGAGAAAGGTGGTTCCTGAAGCCAGACTTTGGAAAACCATCTCAGGGTTTGTTTTTCCCTTTAACTTGTTAGGCTTTCTGATCACTGTCTGATAGGAATTAAAGTTTTGTTTCTTTGCATGCATCTCAAAGGAATTTTGTCACAGTTCATGCTTATGCATTGCTTTCTGGAATAACAGTCCTGTTAATTAACTACATTGTGCCCTCTGTCAAAACTGGAAGATTCTTGATTCAGAAAGCAATGAGTCAGGGTACAGTAAATTAATGAGATACCATCATCATTTTTTGTGCAAGTAGAAACACACAGAAGATACAATTAAAGCAATGTTACTCTTTAGCATGCTTATATGGTAAGATTTAACTGTATTTTACTTATTTACTGCTCACATTTATTCATTTAATGAGTATTTACTGAGTGTCAACTGTGTCCCAGTGTTGTGCTGGGCGCGGAGGGACCAGAGATACTCAAGTCCAGCATGGCTTCTCTCTCTCAAAGATCTTTCTGTTTGTTCTGGAAAGCAGGCAAGTAGGTCAGAAGTTATGATCATAGTAAAAATGGCTCAGCTTTGTTCAGACTGTTGTGTCTCAGGTCTTGCTCCAGGCATTTTGCATAAATCATCTCACTCTGAATCACCCTGTGGAGTGGGTACCACAATTCATATCTCCATTTCACAAATGAGACAACTGAGGTACAGGGTAAGTTAGTTGCCTGATGAAAGTCACACAGCTTGGAAGTGACCCCAGACATTTTTTATCTGTCCCAGAGTCGTTGTTCTTAACATCAAACCACACTGACTCCCAGAGCAGACAGTGAGAGAGTGGCTGAGGGCTCCAAGAGGGAATATTTAAACCTGATTGGAGTGAACAAGGAGCACTTCCCAGGGAATAGAGTGCTTTAATTAAATTTTGATGGATGAGCAGGAGTCAGTTAGGTAAAGAAGGTGAAGGAAGAACTGGAATTGGGAAGAAAAGGATACTTCAGGATAATATCAAATGAGTGAAAGTGTCGGAAAGTACACCATAGGGCTCAGGAAGGAGCAGGTGCACAGGGACCCTCCTGCATGGGCAAGGGACAGAACTGGAAGGAGAAATCTGGGCAGGGTCAAGCCCTTGGTGCACTCTGTGGGGAAGCAGTTGCCCCGACATGACCTTGAGAGCTGTGTGGCGAGCCAAGGCATGGCATGATCAGCTTTTCACTCACCAGAGAATAGACTGAAAGGTAGACAAGGAGCAAAGTGGGGGCTTGTATTACCCTAGCCGCAGAATGAATGGAAGGAGAGGAGGACAGCCATGAAGGTTATGGATATGAGAGATGCTAAGATAGATTCCACAGATTTTAAACAAAACAGTCATGATGATAAGTAGAAGGAAAAGTCCTAAAAAAGGCTACTGATTCTGGTTTTGATGGTGTGTGAGTGAGACACCTTCCATGAAGGAATATATTATTCAAGGGCAAAATGCCAACTGTCTGGTGCATGCTTGGAGCTAAGGCATCTGCAGGTTGTAGGACTACCCAACCAAGTGGGAGCTTAGTACTCAAGACAGGAGCCCCATGGAGAGGCCCAAGTTAAAATACAATTTGGGTGTCATCATGACTTAGAAAATAATCAAGAAATGAATATTTGGCATCCTCATCATGAGTGAAATGGCCTAAAACAAATGGGTAGAGAGGAATAAGCTATTCAAGAATGAAAGCCAAATCCAAGTAATAGAAGGAGGCAAAACAGCTTGCAGTAGACTGACAGAGAAGTAAGAAGGCAACAGCATCCCAGAGACCAAACAAAAGAGGAATTTCAAGAAGGTTAAAGAAGTGTTAGCTGCTGCTGGAAGATCAACCACACAAGGAGACATAGCAACCTTGAGTTTCACCTGCAGAAGTCGCTGTCAGAAATGAGGCAGTCACTGGAGTGAGTGGTGGTCAATCAGCTGAAGGACCGGTGATCAAAATGAACAGAAGCAATATGCTGAAAGGTGGAAGGACCTTTCACGGTTGGTGAAATTTTGGATGAATTACATGGATAAACTGGCCATGCAAGTGGGATTTTAGGTTGTATAGAAAGGCTGTGGAGAAAGTCACCACACTGGATGGTCAGAGTGTTGACTAATCGTCCATGCTGCTGGCTCTATGATGATGCCAAGAAATGAGGTAAATACACTCCTGTAACCAGTGCTGCTGTCAGGAGACAACAGCAGCAGAAATGGGGAGAGAGTGTGTCACAGGAAGACACATTGCTGAATGCAAACTCTGGTGCTTAACATGGTAGAAGTACTGAGAACTAAAGGGCAGACCAGCTCCTCTCCAGCTCCAAAATTAGGGACCACTGGGAAAGGGGTGGTGTTCCTGGTAGTTGTACATCTGGGTCTCCTTAAGTGGACTGTGGAGAAAGGACATGCTTGCAGGTGTTTGATGATAAATAATAGTCATAGGGTCTTATTTATTTAACAATTCAAAAGAGATTTCAAAGGAAATTTGTGAAGGGGATTTGGTGGAGTGAATTTTGAAGGGAATGCT